GGAAAAAATAAATGGTTTCCTTGTCAGGACGGTATCCGAACCTTTCGCTGAACAAATTATGGGTATGGTAGCGCGGCATTTGACACTACCTCGCCTCTATTCCAAAGAAGGAGGTAACTGTAATGAAATAGAGCAAATTTGATGCCAGTTTAATCAGAAGCATATTCCAAGAGAAAACTACAAATGGCATATAGCTACAGTTTTTCGAAGCCTTCAGAAAAACTCCTTTGCTGTGCTTATCTGCCTCAAATCGTACAGCCCACATCGGGATCGAAATGGTCCTGAAACTTCCTCCAGCCAGTACCTCTCTGAGCAGTACATGTCGTAGCTCGTCCAGTTGAGGGCATTTCCTTCGTCAATCGCATTTATTACACATTAGAGACCCCATTTTATTTTTTTTATTTATTCATTTTCTTGTATATTTTGTAATACTTCTTGCGGGCAGCCGAGTGGAACTCCAGTGAAGAAAATTTCGGATAACTTATCGCGCAAATTGTTAGGAAGAACTTATTATATGATTCAGAATAAAATTTCTGGATCAAAATAGAAAGAACAAATAAAAGAAAAGCTCAGTGACCGTTTCTGAAAATGGCTTGCAATAACTATGCCGTCGGCAGACTGCAGCCCTTATACTGTGCTGCATGGTCTCCATAGCTCAAAGCTCAGGAACAGCTCAACCTCAAGATTCGGAATAAAGAAATTTCACCCGAACAAGCCGAACGCTGTAGTGATCCCTTTTGAGTAAGAGTGATGTTGTTGTTAAGTTTTCCCTGGCAATGTCGTAGCCACCATTCGGCACAAAGTTCACTCGGCCAACATCGGCAGTCGGATCTCTATTTGCCTTCGACTGATTGAAGCCTCTTGATTGTGATATCAATAGGTTAGAGGTCGGCACTGCAGACTAGTTCATTATCCACGGTCAACCATCACTCCGAAAAAATTCCAGAGGTAATGGGCTCCTGGGTAATGGGCTATAGTACACTACGATTACTGCTGAATGCAAGTGAGACTCTCTCTTCTCAAGTCACAAATACGATCCTCTCGTTGACCAATTACCAACCAAAGGGCATTTCCGAGTCCAGAAAGGATTGTTTGGTGAGAATATACAATAGCGGTCAGAAGTTTGGAACTTTTTTCGGACCTAGCGCAGTCAATAAACAACAAATTGCCTCAAATTTACATATTATGCGCAAAATCAGTCCTGCGACACTTTTCTCAACTTTTTGATTTTATTCTATCTTTTTTTAGCAACCCTTACGGCATCCGTCAATTCTATCATGAGTGTCCACCACTTGTCTTCAACTCTCAGAAAATTTCCTGATGCGCCTTTTCCAAAACCCAGCGGAGTGCGGGTCAAGAAAGGAGGCGACCTCACTTCCGAGTTGGAGTTGATCGTCTAATTATTTCGTTATCAAGATGATGATTAAAGGTCCAGGATAGGTTGCAGGCCTTTATGCTCGACCGCAGATCACGCAAGAGAGTAAGAATCCTTAAGCCGCCGCTGCCAATTTCTTACCGGGCTTATTTCGGATCATGGTGATTCGCAATGTCATGAAAGAAATGAATATTGTCGCGGTACGAGGGCTCTTGACGAGCTGCCTCGGCCAGCTTCTGGTATTCCACAGCCTAGGCCTCTACCTACACAATGGTGCCCATAAACGAATATGTAGTGGAGCTTCTGTAAGAGCCCTACCTGTAATGGAGTGAGAAGGGAACGCTGCTGGCTTTCTTATAAAAATATCAAAAGATCGAAGCGCTGTAAAGCTGAAACACGCTGTAGCGGTGCACGACATGCCTATTGAAGCGATTGCAGATAGTGTTGGTCTTTGACACGAATCCACAGTTATGGAGACATTTGTACTAGACAGTGACTCGGAGTGTGGATTTACTAGTGGTCGGGGTTTTTCAAATTTTCTTGGATAACTACTGACTGCAGCACTATCCACCTCATTGAAGATTAAAGCCTCGAGAATGCTCACCGATTTTTAGTCATAAATGTTACCTATGGATTGTTCAATACATATCATGCGCAAAATCAAAAATGTGAATAGCGATCAGCATTACATTTCAACGGAATAAGGTATTGAAGAAAGGGCGATTTCTTTAAATTTTAAAGAATCGACCAATCGACTACTTCATATTTAAAAAGGATAAAGCATTTGCCGTTGATCAATCCCTTTTTGGGATGCGGCACGCATTCTACTTCCATTTGTACATTCGCAGTGGCGTTTGAATGCGATGTGGCCTATACAATGACTTGCGGGGGCCAGCCGATGTACAAGTCAGTGTTTTTTTTATCCTCCCAGACAAGTCTGGTACCAAATAACCGACCACCCCGGAGGGATGGAAGGCTTGGTTGGCCCGGGCGACTCACGACCCAGGATTTGATCCCCGGACCGCTCGCGTGGTGAGCGCGCCACTTGTCACTACACCACTTCCGCCCATACACTTCAAACATGATGATAATATATTAATGTGCAATTTTGGAAATGCAATTCTTATTCATAAATTAAAGCATTCTCCATAGAGATTTGAACCCTACAATCCAGAATACGAATTGAAGCTGCTCATCACAAATTTCAATCTGTCTAAGCGTATCGGATGACCCGGGCATAAGATCAGAAGATGCTATCAAAAAAAAAAAATTTTTCACAAGATTGTTTGCCCTTTGAAAAGGTCTTCAAAGGGTTTGCGACTTACCCAAACGACATAACATGAATCAAAAAGTTTTCGAAACGTGTTGTTTTTGTTCAGATATGAATGTTTAAATGCAGCTGAACATCGCCGGGACTACTCGCGAATACTAACGAAGACTCTTAAAACAGGATCTCTCATGGACTTCCAACAGCGCACGGTGCCCAACTGGCTTCGGAACATTAACGGCTAACCTGGATTATAGGCGATAGGTAAAAATGGCTGGGCGACAAATTATTTGCCTTCATGAAAAAGACCTTGTGAGCCTATGGAGTGTTCTGTCAATGGAAAACCTCATTTGAGTATAAGATTCCAACAGTCAGAAATAGTGGAAGTATTGTCATGGATGAAGATGTGTCCGACCATTCGGCGATTCCCCAGTTCTTAGTATCCAGCGAAATGTGGGTTGGGCTAAATACAAGGATAGTCTGTAGAATACAATGCTTCCCTTCGATAGTCAGAACTAGCCGGAAAAGATGGGTTTTCTATCACGGAAATGACCCGATGCAAATCTTCTCCTCCCTGCCACCTTCCTAAACCCAGAAAAAAGAACTGGTGTGAAGCGACCAGCTCAAGATTTGAACTCTTACTGAGTTCTGCACCACAGAAAAGAGCTGGCGTACAACCCACATTCCAGTGATATGATTTAATTCTCAACGGGGCTTCGAGTCAATAAAACCGATGCTAGCATAGCATTCTAGAAATACTCACTAATTTGCTAATTTTTCATGTGGAGAACTGTTGTGCTGAATTTGCTTCGAATTCGGAAGTTTCCAAACTTTTGACGCGCCATTTCTTATAAAAATTCGTATTTTTCAAATGCGATTCTCGTTTTCAAAAAATCATGTTACCCATCGTAATCTACACTTGATTCTGAATATAATATGTGAATTCGGGACAATTTCATTGTCTATTGGCTACGCTAGATCAAAAATAAAAAAGTTTCCAAACTTTTGACCGCTACTGTAGCTTGACTTCACGTGTCTCCGAGATAACGTGATATCAAGCATAATATTCATTCCGAATTACTAAGCCTTTCTAAAAATCCACTCTTGACAAAAAGCGATTTTCTGCGTAGTTCCTGATATCTGCGGGTTATAACCCATAAGCCAAGGGGGTGCAATAGAAAGCAGAACATCTCCTTTCCAAACATGAACGATTTTGCAATTCTTAACCAGTGCAGAGTTCCGGCTCTCATCCAGCCCAGTAAACAGCAGTATATTCATTATCACGAGTCCGACTTGGTGTTTCAGAAGGCTGTATTTCAACGAAAAGCAGATGGAGCGGAGGAGGAGCGAGAGTCGTCGACTCGACCAAATCGAAAGTCAGTGGAATTGGAGCACGACATTTCCAAGACAAAACCTGAACGATCTCCACCTAAGGTACTGTAACCCTCGCTTACTGTAGTAGTATGCGTAAATACTTTATATATATACGTAAATTTACGGAATTTTATTATCTTGCTTGGTTCTAAAAATCACAGAGTCAGCTTACATTTCTGCAATCCATTCATTCCTATTTGAACTGCGGCAACTGGTGGTAGAAAACAGTCGTGGGTGAGAAAACAAAGAAAAACAGTTGAGAAGAGTCGCAGATTTTTAATTTAGAGAAATTTGAAAAGCATTTATCATTTTGGTCGAAACTTTGAACGCAAGTATTTGTTTCTACAGCGTCTGACACTCATATTTCCCATATATTTTTTTTCTATAACTATCATTTTTGAGTTATTTTTAGTTCTAAATAATTTCACGTAGTGTTATTTTTTTACTTCTCCTCCACCAATTATAACCCACATGCAATATTTTAGAAGCCTGAAATTGAAGATCAAGCTACAGACTGGACCATTTGGGTATAAAACTATAGGACAGCTTATATTCAACGATTACGAGCACAGACGAGGTCAGTCCGTCACTGCCAGCCACTAAACATGTGTATTGATTTTACGCCCGCGCGTGCGATTAACAAAATACTTTGCAGGAAAAAGCATTCTGCAGCCATGCCCTTGCTTGCCTTGTTCTTCATGGAAAAAACTAATCGATAACCCATCAATACCCATCGAAGCAGAGCTACCGCTGACTCTTATTAATAAATAGATAGTTGTGTGGATTATTTAGAAAAAATGACCAAAAGTTCACGTTGTTTTTCAGATTCATGACAGAATTTTACGTATGCTTATACTTTGTACTAATTTGATGGGCTTTTTCATAATTATGGTAGCGAGTTTGTCTGGTCTTATTGGAGCCTTGTCGGATGGCATAATTCTCGATTTTGGCGACAATTTTTTTTGAATTTTTTAGACCTCAGTTTCCTATTTATTTTTTTATTTATTTATTTATTTATTGTTTATTATATTTATATTTATTTATTTATTTATTTATTTATTTATTTATTTATTTATTTATTTATTTATTTATTTATTTATTTATTTATTTATTTATTTATTTATTTATTTATTTATTTATTTATTTATTTATTTATTTATTTATTTATTTATTTATTTATTTATTTATGTGTCAGTTATTAGGTCGAAGGGACGCTACATATAAAGGCATATGCTAAAATAAAAGATGCTGGTTCAAACAAAAAAGAGATCAGAGCTAACAACAATACAGAAGTACTAAATGAAATAAAAACTATATTAAATAAATCAAATAATTCGTTAGTTTCCGGATCAGCGGAAAAGTATGAGCCGGGGCTAGGACCTAGGTAAACCCCCGTAATACTCACAATCCCATAATTTATGCTGGTTTTACCACTTCGGACCGGCGATCACCGGGTAATAATGGGCCGAGTACAATTGAATAGTGTGAAGGTCAAGTGAGCGCTCCCGATCTTGGACGGACTTCCATTAAAAATCGTCAATCCCGATGACCCTTCGGCCAGCGCCCATGCACAATGCCTTCTTCTGATGTTCCACTTTTTCCCTACCTGCTCTTCCTCTTTCTCCCGATTTGTTTCCGAGCACGGTCGCTGCTCGCTTTGCTTTATCTCCTTTTTCTGGCCTCCTCAGTTACCAGTTGGGATAACTGATCGCCACCGGTGTGGTCGATTTTATCGTAAAGTTTTTCACCAGTCCATGTGTCACTGCGGGGATGGCGCTGGTGTCGGTACGAATTTTTGCAAATTCAGCAACATTGTTGCCGTGGAAATCGAATCTGTTGCTATCAAGGTTCGAACATGAGCCTGAGCCTATGCTCTTTACCACTCGACTGTCGACTGGTTGAGGACCTTGTACACAAAATGGGAATATCTTCTCAAAGGGGTGCTTACATACATTCTTCTCCCACATTTGCTCTCAACAATTTTTATTCGGTTGCAACAACCATTGCATTCTTCTGAATTGACTAAAGGATAAAGGAATAACGAAGAATTCTGTAGTGGTATTTTTAATGCGATAATGGTCTGCCCAATTACTTGTGGAGGCCAGCCGATGTGGAAGTTCATGTTTTTACCACTTCACACAAATACGGCCCCCAATGAACTGACCCCGGAGAGACGGAAAACATATTTGGCTTGGATTGTGTACGATTCAGTGTTTAATCCCGGAACGGAGAGCGTGGTAAGCGGCGCTACTTGCCGCTACGGTCCGGGAACCATGTTCCCGACTTAGTTCCTCCTTAATTCCCAGCGAAATTTCTGTTCCACCCAGATAACCGGCTATTTTGTCCTTTGACTTCTCAATGTGCCTTATTTTACACGTTTCAAGGCTGAGTTCACGACGAAAAGACAGCCGACTAGAAATCAAGGTGGAGGTGGTCAGCGATGCAACGACGGAGAGGAAACGAAAAAACACAACCTGAGCCTAAGAAATGGGAGCCTTTACCCGTTTCGCGTGTGAGCGTGTCTCATCGGTGCTGACCCCGTCAACGATTGCGCTCTCTCTCTCTATTAGGCGGCTAGGGCAAGACGGCCAGTGGGTGGGCGGGCTTCGGCGGTAGCGATACGGGACGGCCATGCTAGATACTCGGGGGCGAACCCACTGCGAACTGTGTCAGACCACATGCTTACTGGTCAGCCTATCCTTCTACTGTGTAAGTCCCCTTCACCGAGTTTTGACCATAGTGGAATTCTTCTTTGATTTGGTGCCTCGCTAGAGCCAAACTATGAGAATTTGCCGACTTCATCTTGTAGTTACTCTATGTGTACTGATGATTTTAGTCCTAACGAGTCAATGCGAAGGAAATGCCGTGTTCTATGTAATAAGTGAGGAGTGAAAAACCCTCATTCAAAAGGGGTGCACTGCTTTTCACAAATACACAGGCTTATATTGGAGTATTATAGCATTCCAATTTGCGCCTCGGAATTCATATACTCCCCTTCAAAAAGCCAGAAAGTGTGGGTGCAGACCAAACACCACAACTGACGACGGCCTCCAAGTAAATCTGGTTAGTAGTGGTTCATAGTGATAGCTGATTTTTGGTAAATGATAGTTGTAATTAGTGACAACTGATAGAATACAACTGCAACAGGCTAATCATTTCATTGGCAAAACATTTACATTTTGTGGAGGCCGTCGTCACTTGTGGTGTATGGTCTGCACCCGACACTTTCTGGCTTTTTGAAAGGGAGGGTATTTCTTGCGCTTTTCCCGTGATTCCTATGACATCTTATTGCTCTTATATCCATTTGGCAGGGAAATTCTATATTCTGTTTCGGAATTTTCGGTCTTCCCCCCACCTGCAATTTCTTTCCATTTTTCCGTTCTGATGATGTCAGACCATACTGGAAACTTTGTTGACTCAATGCGTGCAATACAAAACAATTTCAACTAGTTCTGCTGCATTATCACTAGGAAAAATCATGGAAAACATGAAAATGTGTAACCGGCCTAGGAAAAATAAACAGTCCACAAAAATTAGTCATCAAGAATC